TCTTCCGTGGAGCGGGGATTTTCAGTGAACAAGGAATGTCTTGTGGAAAATATGAAGGAGGAGTCACTTGTAGCACAAAGGTTAGTGTACGATGAGGTGTCTGCAGCAGGTGGTGTTGCAGAAGTTGACGTAACAGACAAGATGATAGACATGGTTCGAAGTTCCAACATCAAATGGAAGGAAGACCTGGAGAGGAAAAAGAAGGAATGGTTGGACGTATTGGATGCTGAAAGGAAAAAGAAGAGGGCTGCGGCTCTTGTGAAAGAGCTTGAATCAAAGGAGCAAAAACTGATGGAAGACGCACAGCTTCAGGTCTCCATGCTGCAGCAAGAGATTGAATCCTTGAAACAGTGAAGGCATTGCCGATGCAAGTAAACAAGCTTTTCTGTTTGTCGAGGGACAATTATTGTGTCTTTGAATATTTTATTTATTGTAAAAAATGCTTTCAGACAAGGGAATGCAATAAAGCAGCATGGTTTCCATTTTATATGAGCGCCTCATAATTTCTTTTTACCGCTCAGGAGTTTGTTTTCCAGTGCGCAGTTTCTTCCAAGCAGACGTACCGGTCATGGAATTTGCTTGAAATGGTCATGGAAAACCTGGAAAAGTCGGGGAATTTGGAAAAATGTAATTGGTAGACACCCTGATATTACCATTCCTCTGTCTTGTGTTGCTGTGCTCCCAGTTTGTCGGAACAAATCTGAAAGGTGTAATGAATGAGGATGCTCTGCACTGCTGTCCTTTTTTTTTTTTTTTGCTGAGGCTCAAATATACAATGAAATCTCGATGATGCGAATATTAAGAGTATGCAAAATATTCGTATCACCCCGAATTTGTATGAACCAAAAGTTTGGCTGATCATGAAGATCAACAACTACTACTAAAAAAAAAAAAGTCCATTAAGTTCTCTTGAACTTTTCTGCCTTCGCCGTCTCTCAAGAAAGCTGCTTGAAAGGAATAAAACTCCACTGTTTCCTCTCATGCTGCTAGCACTTAGGCTCTTTCATATTTGTTCTCAAAGGGAGCGAAAGCAGCAAAACTTCCTGGTATTTCACTTGCTTCGCCACTTGAGCACTCGGTTATTCTCGTTGTGAAGTGTATACAAAAAAATCTGCCCTTGAGCATTCACACTTAAGAAGCAAATTGAAGATGTCAGAGCGGCTGGAAAACCACATCGGCACGCTTCGAAAATGTAGACATTCGTTCAGCCCCTCGTACATGCCTCTGCTGTCGCCCTCTTCGCCACTTCGAGGATTCATTCCATTTTGCCCATTTCTTGAGCATTATTAAAATTCATATTGAGCGCTAGATATGCAGGCAAAGCACTGAAAAGCAACTGTTTGCACCTTTTCAAATGTTTTTTTGGGACATAGGCCAGCAGAAACAATGAGTAGACTCAGCGGTGGGACGGATTCAGTTTGCTGTGGAAAAGTTGAGACACGTTCGGGCATGCAGACTTGGTACTACAGTACCTTCTTTCACTTATGGTATTCTAGACTATTCTAGCCACCACTGACGCCTTTATCATCATGTTGAAATTGTAGTCTGAGCTAGTGCAGCATATGTGGTCGACGTGGTGTAGGTGTGCAACCTAAAGTGTGAAGCGGGAAGGTGATCTGTCGCATGGGGAAAAAATTAGTTTTGGACTTTTTTTAGAGCCTACTTCCCAGCGTGGTTTTCCGGCCAATGAGGCAGTGAAGTAAGGGAAATCCTGTAAATTTTGCTACATTTGCTCCCTTTGATTCCCAGTCTAAATGTGCCTTCCCACAGACATGCTGTGTTGTGCTTTTCGTGTGCAACGGTCAATAGCACGTTTGTATCATCCGCCGTATTCACATAACACCGAATCACTGTGCATTTTACATAATGTGGTCCATCTGATACAACCTTAGAATTTAGATAGTGAAATTCGGATAAACTGTAATCATATCACTGCTATTCTACTGTATTGCACCTCTTGCAAAAAGGCTTAATATAATCTTGCTTGGCCAGCTAGCAGTTCCCATCATTTATTAACTCGTCAGCCAGTGAGGGTGGCAGCTGAATGCTAGCTGGATTCTTCTGTTACTGATAGTTATAGCGCGAGAACGGAACGATGACAAAGAGACATTGACTTTGTCGTCGTTTGTTCTCACGCTATTACTATCGTCATGTCATACCAACTAGCCCAAACTGCCACTCTTTTGTTGCATTGGGCCCCTACAACTTGTGGCTCCTCTGTTAGCAATTTCCATCTATGTTATGTTTTTTTTATCATTTTGCACAAAAAAGTTGTTACAATGGGGGATTACACAGAGGGAGATTCTAAAGTCAGCAGACTGTACTGGGGACCCCCCATAATAAATGAGTAACAGAAGTGTATACAACGCAGCTATATATGAACAAAAACTAAACACTAACAAAAGAAGCACCACTTTGTCTGCTGAGTGCACTTCCGAAAAACTGTTTTATCTGCAATGCTGAGAACAGAACACCTGGCAGAATGGAAGAGTGAAGGGCATAGTTCTGCATAGGCCACAATCATCTTGAGGGCTGTTCAATCATTTGATTAGCATAAATTACAATCAAATAATTAGGAAGTGCACCTTTTATGGTGGCAGAAAATCAGATGAGTTTTCTCAGGAGGGCCCTCATTTGTTTGTAGATCAGTTCAAGAATGCGACAGAAAAGCCGCTAGGAATAAAAAATGCTCGCATGTGCTTGTAAAAAAATGCTTGGTTGAATACAAATGCAGTCACCATTTCTGTGTGTTCCTGTTGGGTGCATAAAAAAAGTGAATGGAATAGCGGAAATGGCGGGAGAGGAAGAGGGACTTTCTTCAACCCATGTTTTTTGTAATGCTGGTTTAGTCCTTACTGCAAGTATTGATGTTTTACAGCTGCTTGCTTAAAATAGTGAGATTTCGGTTTATTTTCTCACTGGGATTTCTCTGGGTAGCTTAGTCATTCACTGTTACTGATCAAACGTTGGTACCTGTCCAGTTCAGATAAGTGTTGTACTTTGGCTCGATAGTTTACTGCCAAATAAGTTTGTTTTTTTGCTTTTCCTGACTTTTTCTTAATCTAAACAGCCAGATAATGAGACAAATGTTTTTTCATGGCTGGAATCAATGGAAGTTCACAAGAGTGTCATAGTAAATGTTGCACGGTCTTTACTGGCTTGATATAGTTGTTTTTAGTGTATTTGTGAAGGAAGAGCGGATCAGATATGTTGGGCTGACTGAAATGAAAGTAGTAGGCATTGTGGTTTGAACATTTTTTGCTACCCAGACTTGAAGGGAGTACTGACACAGGATTCTGTAGACGAGGTAACATGGGTGCTTGATTTGTGTACACAGTCACTTGCATGCACAAATGTTTGAAATGATATGCACTTGAATGTAAGACAACACTTAACGGCATTTACTTGGCTTCAATGAAACGAAACAGTCATGTACATTGAGATTCTGGGCGATGACGTGTCCAGTTGTGTTCACGTTCAAGAAACTGAGGCAGTGTTTATTATTGCACTGTGAAAGTGCTACTGGGAGCTATGGAAACAGCTTCTGATTAACTGTGGAATGAAGGTTTCTAGCCAATGTGAGTTGGTCATTTGCTACCTATGGTAAGAGAAAGTACGTGATTCTAAATTTCTCTGTTTTTTTTGTACATGCTGCTACAGTAAAAGCTTGTAAATTAAGTCAAACTGATGCCCTGGTCCCGACAGTGTGAGTGTAGCCCTGTGTATTTCTATGGGGAAAAACTTCTGACAATTCGAACCGTTGATATCCATGATGGTTAAATTGAACTACCTTTCTTTGCTCCTTTCAGAAGTCGGCCTAGTAGTTACAATATGTTGAAAAACCAAAGAAAATTCCCTAGATATGCAAAATAACGAAACAGCTGCATTTCTAAGTCTGTTTCTAAGTCATTTCTGTTTATATATATGGTATTTTTCTGGAAACAATGTTTGCTACCCTTTGTTGTTTTGCTACCTAACTTTTTTACCATGACGATGTTTATCCACCCTGCTAAAATCCTCTATGGGGATTGCAGTATCTGTAAATAAAATAAAAATAAATAAATTCGATTTGTAATGCTGCGATGGAGTTCTTCACAACTACGAACAATGCTCAGTCACGACAGAATACCCGAGTAAACGAAAATTACTGATTGGGATTTAATTAATCTTATTCTGGTTCAGAGAACAAACACACAGGGGAGACCTCGATTACTTCTTGACTCTACTATGTAGATACATGTGTTTTCGAGCTTAATCATATATTTGATATTAGGGCTCACTGCCCACATGAATGCATGTCGGTGTTTTCTGATGTGTCATTGGCTGATGTATTATGTTCATTGTTAAAAGCTCTATGAACTTTAATGAAATCATCTGCCACAAATGTGTTCCAGTGCCTAATAACAAGTCAGGAGATGGCTTTGGGTTCTGCTTGCAATGTGGCAGTGTTAGCACATTTGAGTGCCTGTCCTTAATTAAAACTTTGCTTAAATAGAACACTTCTATTACAGTCTCTTGAGTTTGAATTGCAACCTTTTCCTGTATAGCATTCGCTCTTCATTCGTTTACATTACTTCTCTACATATCTTGGCTATTGCAAAGCAGCCTTGTGCCACTATTTCCAAATTTTAATGTGTACTAAGAACATTATTACTCTAAAACTTGGCATTGGCCTAGATTTAGAAGTGCCTTGATTTGCGTTCCGTCTTAGAAAGTTGAAAAGGGGGAAAGAATGTCTTGATTAGGATTACTGTAGTGTGAGTGCTTACTGTCAGCAAAGCCAGTGACTGTTCGAGGGACTTTTCCCAGTATTATGGGGAGGTGGGAGAATGAACTCTTTATTTTGTTCATGATACCCAACTAGCTGTGCCAATAATAAATGGACACTGAGAAGTTGCATAGCAGAAAAATATTAAAGAATTGTGAATTATTGAGCATGCAACAGGGCACTAGCAGTGCATGCGTTTGTGCAGTGTTCAAGTTGTGGTGGCTTGTTGCAGGTGGTACGTGGCCACCATAAGAGCCAGCAGGTTGGCAAGGTGGTGCAGGTGTACCGCAAGAAGTACGTGATCTACATCGAGCGGATACAGCGAGAGAAGGCCAATGGTGCTTCTGTCTACGTCGGCATTCACCCCTCTAAGGTGGTCATTGTCAAGCTGAAATTGGACAAGGACCGCAAGAAGATCCTTGCGAGGCGCGCACGTGGCCGGCAGCTCAAGGACAAGGGAAAGGGAAAGCACACTGAGGAAAGTGTTGCCATGGAGACGTAACTTGAAAAAAGACACCTATCATCTGGCTGAGTTTAATAAAGGGCTTTGCTTGCCGTGAGTGGTCGATTTTAATCACACTCAAAGGCGAAAGCCACGTGGTGTGGCCATTTTACTGTACACATATCGACTTCCAGCGTTGATGTATTTCAGTCAACTTGCTGCTGGCTTTAATTGCTTTGCAATTGTATATTTATATCGCTGCTCACTTTCATTTGCTTTTGTAGGGCGTTAGCTGCCCTACTAGTCTGTAAGCGTCGCAGTTTACCTCTTCTTTCACGTGAAATAAAAAAAAAAAAAGTCGGCCCCTGTGCTGACTACCCTTGTGGTTACGTGGGGAAAGCAGAAACGCCGTCCAAAGACAGACAACCGCGCAAGAACGTTGCATCCAATTTTGTGGCAGAGCACTGCGCAACTGCGTTACACGCTATGATCTGGAAAAAAAAAAAAAGGCCCGTGCCTTTGCCTGGGTGAAAAATCATTCTGCACGCCTTTATCTCGAGTCTCCATCTAAAGCCGTGTTCAACAAACTACCACTGTGCCAAATTACACCCAAGTGCCCTAGCTGCTACGTGCTACATTTCCTTAAAATTTGGCGAGTCTACGCGCCCTGCCTGCGCCAAAAGATGTATTTTTCCGATGGAGGCAGAAATGTAGGCCCGTGTGCTCAGATATGGGTGCACGTTAAAGAACCCCAGGTGGTCGAAATTTACGGAGCCCTCCACTACGGCGTCTCTCATAATCATATGGTTGTTTTGGGATGCTAAACCCCACATATCAATCAGATGTATGTAGTCTTGCAGAAACTAAATGAGAACAGTTCAATTCACGCCGTCTTAAGTCGTAGCGTTAACAACACCGCATTTCAGATTTATTTATTGTGCAACTTTTACAAATACCATGAGCGTATGTTTGCTCAGCTTTTCATATATGTGATTTCTTTTGAGCAGCAGCTTCGAATTCAAACCCGAAAGGTGGGTAAGCTGTCGCACGCAATGATTGTCGAGATAAGTATACTTCAACGGACGCCATGGGCGCGCGCGATGACGAAGCCGACAGCGAAGCGTGTCGAAAACAAGATGCCAAGTGAGTGCATCTCGTGGAGGTTTTTCTAAAACTTCTGAAGGGGCGGAGTAGCTCCCTAGCTGAAGCCGGCGCGCTGCCATATTGCTCAGGGCAAAAAGCGGATGGGCACTTGTAGCGTAAGTAGCTTTCGCTTTGTGTATGTACTAGCAATGTTGCGTGTGGTGCCTCTAATTGAACACCATGGTTCTGAACACGTCCGTGATAATTTTTCAACGCGGATGGTAGGCTTTGGGTAGCATTTGACCGGGCAACAACTTGCGATGTGTAAGTGGGCATGCTGTGCTCGCTCGCTTTCCCTCTCATTTTCGCGAGTACATGGATTTCCTTTTTGCGTCCGGGTGCACAGAGACACTTCGATTAATTTTTGTACGTTTCAAAATTACAAAGACTTACAGTGCGCGGCACATCAGAGTGCGCTCTGATTCGACGAGGTTAAGTGCCAAAAAAGAATGGCGACTTATGTTCAGTACGCTTGTTGAAGCAGGCTGCTTCGATGAGGCAGGGTAAACAAGACTGGCTTGTGGGATTACTACAGTGTTTGAATCGTTTCCATGCGCACTTACAAAAGACAGTACGTCAATGCGCCTACTACAAGTGAGTGCTTCGTTTTTGAAAGGTAGTTAATGTAGCACCGGTTCTGTATTTCTTGGATTTTGAGTTTTATATATTTTTATGCGCACTATGCTCCCGATGCCAAACTTTCTTATGTGATATGCGGCATGCCTCTTTTTATGTAGGACAAAAAGAAACAAGCTCCTCTGCAAAGTCAAGGAAGTAAACACTTTCGTCTAAAGCGCCTCTCATTGATGGAGCTGTCAAAATCCCACGACCCTCAAACTTCAGCCACAATGGAGTCGTACAAGGAAAAAAAAAATCGTGAACGAGGTACAAATAACAGCTAAAAAAGAAGGGTATGACATCGTAGCAGTACCAATGGGGCCTTTAAATATATATATTACTATTTAGCTGACATATCAGCGGTCAAAAGACAACTAGGAAGTGGTCTGTGGTTTGTGCGTGCTGTCCTCCATCATAGTCGATGCTATACGCATCAATTTCAATATAGATTCTTAATATACACGCCTCGTGTCATTTTCTACGCAACAATATATATATATATATATATATATATATATATATATATATATATATATATATATATATGAGATCAATCCTGCATCTGAGACCACAAGCGTGCCTGCAACCACACCCAGTGGTGTGCGCGTCCGCAGGTTAAAACCTTGTTACACACACATATATATATATATATATATATATATATATATATATATATATATATATACATATTTATTGGGGCTTCTCGGAATTCCGTTGACCGTATAATGGATCAGAACGGATTATCAGATGAAGTTTTTCTAGCATCGTTTTCTCCGGATATCCAGGAGCTTCTCAAACGAGTACGTAAACAGGCCCTTCGACCCCATAATAACGAGTTTGCAGACACGCTGCACTGTTATTCGACGTGGGCTTATGGTTGTGTGCATCACAGACAGATAAGCTTTATTTGCGTCTTGGGGAAAATATTCCTAACAACCCACCGTGGGCTGCACCGGCGACGGGGTTACAGTGTACACTCTAACGTGGTCGAGGACCAAAGGTTCCCGATCGCTTCACGGGCTCCCCGGAGTTGTTTCGCAAGTCGTGCACTTTCGATACATTCTAAAAAGTCAGTGTCGTTTACGTAATGCCTCCTTGTTGAAGCGCGCAAGGCGGGGCACCGCCACATCAAATAAAGGGAGGTGGCGAGCTAATCGCATGCCGAGCAGTTAGGAGAAATGTCCATATACAGCGCCATAGTGGCCGGTGACAGAAAGGAGCTAGTTTGGAGGAGTCGGAGGGCTATCTGCTGTCTCCTTGTTAGCTCTCTGTGCGGATCTGGAAAGGATTTCCTACTTAATCGGTAGTGCGTACGTAACTCATGAAAGGTGGTCAACGGGTCCCCGTCGGCGCCATCACTACTCCCCTCCCCCTCAGTATGAGGGGGGCTGTTAGCCCGGGGTAGAGAATGAGTCTTCGCGACCGAGCGTGAGCCATTTAGTCGGGGTTGGTGATGGCGGAGGCGCCCATGTGGGCGGTGAACAACGTCAACTTGTGAGGAAATACTGTGCCGTTCATGACAATTCTGTAAGCAGCCGAAGAGATTTGGTTAATGTCAAACGGCCTGACGGCCGTTTTTGAATCGGAAAAGAAAAATAGCGGACGGATGTCTAGTCGTCAGCGCTAGAAAGATAGCGACGTGTTCAGCTACCCCGATGGACTTGGTTCTCACCGAGGCTAAGGTACTCGGCGGCTGACCCGTATTTCGCGGGATTGAATCCCGGCTGCGGCGGCAGCATTTTCGATGGAGGCGAAAATGATGTATGCCCGTGTGCTCAGACTTGGGTGCACGTTAAAGAACCCCGGGTGGGCGAAGTTTCCGGAGCTTTCCACTACGGCGTCTCTCATAATCATATGGTGATTTTGGGACGTTAAACCCTACATAACAATAAATCAATCGAAATTGATATCTGCGAAATGGAATGATTTGTTCAAACTCATAAGCCAAGGCTTGAAAGGGGTGCTGTAGCGAAAACCCATGAGCTAAAGAGGGGCCGTCACATCATTTGTGCATCATCTCCTTATGTGTGATATCAATAAAACTACAAGCAACACTTCTGAAGCTACCTAGAATCGTCGAGAAAATTAACTCATAGAAATATTAGTTGTTCGAAAGCTGGTGCGTAACAGTACAGAGCTAAATGTGCGAAATTTTTCTGTTAGAAGAGACATGGCGCGAAAATAAAAAAAAACGCATATAAATAATGGCACCCACACAATGTAAGCAACAAGCATTGTTATAGCCCCATAACTGTCTCTCCGGGGGAGGATATATAAACAGTAGCTCACGAGGAATCGGGGTAGAGAAAGGATTAAAAGGATAGGGTTAAAATGCAAAGACATAGAGAGAGAGGAAGGAGAGAGTGAGGCACAGAGACAGTGAACGACGGAAGTAAGGAGAAGACAGGAAAGATGGACACGGTTGCAGGAGTCCGAGGACGGGGCACCACTGGCGAGAGCTCTTGTCGGCGACAGGAGATGGCGTAGGGCTAATCCAGTCGGCCAGAGCTACGCTGTCGTCGGAGATCGCGAGGGCACAACCGGTCAGCACGGAATCCAGCGAGCGAGTCAAGGCCAAGGACTACTTAATTTCCTTACGTTAATAACTGAAACAGACATTCATGATGAATCACGGCGCTTTTTTGAACATATTGTTCACGGTCATCAATATTGTGACGATGATGTAACTTCAAGTTCTACGGCTTCTAAGCAATAAGAACAGCCGTGTTACGAATGTGGCCTTCATCACTTGTACGATACGCGGATATACATCCCAAACAAAAAAAAAAAAGTTCACACCAACTTATTCCTGTTTCAATTGGTCTAAATTATTTTATGGAACAGCAACTGCACCGTAAATTCTCAGTCATGGTAGAGAACGTGTACAAGCTAGTACACGCGACGTATTTATGAAGTTTATTTGCTAGTACATTCCGTGCATAAATGCACAACCAACATCTAAAAGAAATGGAAATGGTTGTAATCGCCCAAAAGGGGCATGACCTTATTTTAACCGTTGGCACACAATTTACTATGACGGAAGTTGACGAAAGAAGAGGTAGAAATATAGTAACCAATCACCTGAATTACTAATCATTATGGCATGAAAAAAAAAAAAAACGCCAGGTCTGCGTGGATCGCGCAGCACAGTCACAGCGACAGCTAGAAGAGCAGCCTTTCAGAGCCTTTTCCAAACACCCATTGGGTAACTACTGCAAGCACACTTGCTTGATACCCACTTGGTCATTAGAAAAAAAATTATTTGGGTAGTTGGCTGGCATTCGCTATACTATTTCTGTCATTATTTTGAGAAGCTGAGCAGCATGGTATCCACTAAACACACTCAAGAAATTTTGT